CTGTGTGGTCCTCAGGGTTTTGTGGTTGTTTACTATGTACTATTTTGGCAATAAGTTAACCAATATTCATTCCTTCTCCAGGCATCACTCCGTATTCCTTCTCTTAACATCTTTTATCAAATCTGGGCTTCATACTTTTTGGGATTGCTTTTTACTACTTTAGGGGGGAATGTATTTCTAATTAAATGGTTCTGTGGCTTCTCATAGGAAACCCTGAGCCAGAAGCATCTGGCCACACCATCTCTGTTTCTGACCCACCGTTAAGTCACTCCATTTTACAGTATGTCTCAGCAGTAGATCACTGATACAGGAGGCAAAGCTGGGAGCCGGGTTGTTGAGTTTGCTCTGCTGTATCCCATAGAAAAGGGCAGCGCCTGGAGTTTGGACAAAGAGTGGCTTTTAGCTGGATCTTGCACCTGTGTGGAGTGCAGGGTGAGACATAGGCAGGAGAGGAAGGGTGCTGAGTGGTGTAGTCTAGGTGAGAAAAGATGAAGACCTGACCACCCGATGAAGTCAGGGCACTGAGAGTGCAGCAAAGACTGACTGGATTGGGGTGAAGGAACTGTCTGTGGGGCCTGCTAGGCTTCCAGCACAGGTGCCTGGGCTGATGGTGGGCCATGCACAGAGCTGGGGGAGCAGGAGGAGATGCAGATGGGTGGGGCAGGGGCTGGAGAAATACTAAGTTCATTCCTGGGTGTGTTGGATCTGAGGTGCTGATAGGGTATTCAGGTGAAGAGGTCCAGGCATGAAGCTGGAAGTGTCTGAACAGTTCTCTCCTGACAGTGAAACAGATCCACCTGATGAGCTCCAGACCACACAGCAGAGGATGCTTTTGATGGTGGGAAGAACCACAAACAGGGTGGGGTTCTATAGACGCCACCTCCCTTAAGGTTGCCTATGGTGACTTCAAATACGTGAATGCCTAAAAAACAATAAGTATCCAGCCCTTTCAGTAAGTCCTTTTGGATACACCCCAACTGGCTCTACCTGGCAGCTCTTTGCTGGTGACAACCCCCCACTTAGCTTTGCATTTGAAAGACCTGGTAGTTTTTAGGAGGATTAAGTGAAATGATTTGAAATTTCCTGGCAGGTAGTAGACTTGGTCATAGTTTTCTTTCTGCCTAAAAAGTGAGACTAGACCCTATCCTCTCCCTCTCCTGGACCAAAAGGGATTGTGCCTGTAAAAAAAGTTTCGTGAAATGCAAACCTTTATTCAAATGTAAATTATAACCTTTCCCTTTAACTTCAAGAGAAGATCTTTTTAACATTTTATTATGGAAAACATCAAACTACATAAAAGTAAAGAGAATAATGTAATAAGCCCTTGTTATGAAACCACCATTCACCTTCAAAAATGATCGATTCATGGCCAACCTTATTTTATTTATGCTCTCACCCACTTCCCCCATTGGATTATTTTTTATATCATTCATAAATATTTCAGCACATATCTCTAAAAGATAAAGAATCTTTTCCTTTGTTAAGTCATAAGATTTTTATTCTTCCATGTGCTTAAAACTTAAACCACAAAACTCAATTATAAAGGTATTTAATCCATATCGAGATGTTAAAGTAGCAAGAAAATCTTTATATTTTAGTATTTTTTAGTATTTATTTTAAATACTCTTTTTACAGTCACAATACCAGTATCACACTTTTTAAAAAAATGATCAATAAGTCCTGTATATCAAATATCTAATCAGTTTTGCTTATTTCTGCCACTGTTTTACTTTTTCCTTAAGCATGTTTCTTTTTGTTGTTGTTATTTATCTTCTGAGGATATTTTTCCATTCATTTTTAGAGAATGGTAGTGGGAGGGAGAGACAGAAAGAGAAACAAGATGCGAGAGACTCACATGGATTGGTCGCCCCCAACACATGCCCTGACCAGGGCCAGGGATGGAGCCTGCAACTGAAGTAACATGCCCTTGACCGGAATCAAACCTGGGATCCTTCCGTCTGTGGACCAACACTTTATCCACTGAGCCAAACTAACTAGGGCTCCTTAAGTTTGTTTCTTCAAATTAGGATCCAAATAAAACTCAATCACTTAAAATGATACGTATTTTCACTCCCTTTTAATGTATAGATTCTGCCTCCATCTCTTTTCCTCCTGTAATTTGCTTATTGAAGAAACCAGGTCATTTATCTTGCAAAGTTTCCTTCAGTCTACATTTTGCTGATTTCAGCCTCCTAATTTTTTTTATAAATAAACTTTATTTTTTAGAAGTTTTAGATTTACAGAAAAACTGAAGGAAGTACAGAGAGATCTCATACAGTTCTCCCCGTTTCCCCTAGCCTTAACGTCTTTCATTAATATTTGTTACAATAATGGCCTGATATGGATACATTACTGTAAACCAAAGTCCATACTTAATTCAGGTTTCCTAAGCTTTTCTCTAATGCTCTCTTCTGATCCAGGGTCCCATCCTGGATACTGCGTTGCATTTGTAGTCATGGATCCTTAGAGTCCTCTTTGTTGTGAGTTTGTTGTTCTCAGACTTTCCTTGTTTGATGGCCTTCACAGTTTTGAGGCATGCTGGTCAGGTGTTTTGTAGAATATCCCTCTGCTGGGGTTTGTTTAATGCCTTTCTAATGATTTACTGGGGGTTATGACATGTTGGGGGGAAGACCATTGACATTAAGTATCATATTCATCATCTTGTCATATTATCAAGGGGACATACTATCAGCATGACTTACCACTGTTGATGTTGACCTTGATCCCCTGGCTAAAGTAATGTTTGTCAGGTTTCTCCCCAACCCATACACCTGTTTGCATACTGTCCTCTTGGAAGGGACCACCATTCACAACTTATTTGGGGCCCATCTCCTTGAGCTGGAGTACATTATTTCAGATTCTTCTGCATAAGAGATTTCTCTTCTCAGCATGAGTTTACCTGTGCATTGTCCATATCAGTATGAACATACAGATATTTCAGACTTGAGCTGTAATCCAGTACTGCTGGCAGTTTTTGTGAGCTTTCACCAGGTGACTCTAATGTTTAACCAGGACCATTTTCAAGTGCTCTAGAACTCTGATGGGTAATGAGTTGTGTCAGGCACAATTCTCATTGCCTTGATCCAGTGCCTGATGCTAGTAGATGCTATAAATGCCAGGCTATTCAGAAGACTATAAGCTAGCAAAGACGATGCTGGGGACATCTCCTTCTCTCCTAGGGGTGATGAGGCCTGATGATTGTGGCTGACTTCCAACCAATAGGTCTTTACCTTAAGACAACACTCTGCCCCACCCCCCACCCCCAACTCCTGTTCTGAATGCTTTAAACCTCTCAACATTCCTAATAGGTTGGTATCTCCATTTAACAGTTGAGCCCCTGGGGGTCTGACAGTTATATGATGCTAAGGTGACAGGCTTGTGACTTGGTGGCTTGGGCTCTCCCCTGTCCCGGGCTGTCACTTACAGGCTGTGACTTCAAGCCCAGGCCCTCTCAAGGAGCTGCCTCATCCTTTCCTCCATCTAATAAATATTGACTATTGATGTTGAGGTAATCTGCATAGAGCGCAAAGCCTCAGAAAAGGTGGGGAAGGCCTGGACTGGGATGAAAGATCCGGAATCCTTGTCCCTCAGCATCAGGTCCCGAGTAGGCCCCGACCTTCCTTCACAGCTAGGTGATCTGCTCTGGAGACCTTCTGTACCCGCTGCCATCCTTGCACTGATCTTGTCTGCCTACTGCAACCTCACGGATCCTATCTGTCCTATCCACTGCCTATTGCCACTCTCAATTCTTGACTAGAACTACAGTTCTCATTGGCTACCCCTCCTAAATTCCCATCTCAAAAAATGACACCACTTTAGCTTTGGCCAGTGTTGCTCAGTGGTTAGGGCATCCATCAGTACACTGAAGGGTCAGGACACCCAGGTTGCTGTTTCAATCCACGGTCAGAGCACATATGGGAGGCAATGAATCTCTATATCTCTCTCCAATAAAAAACACCCTAGGGTGAGGATAAAAAAAGACACCACCACCCACCCAGACCCGTGGTCGGCAAACTGTGGCTTGTGAGCCATATGCAGCTCTGGCCCCTTGAGTGTGGCTCTTCCACAAAATACCATGGCCTGGGAGAGTCTATTTTGAAGAAGTGACGTTAGAAGAAGTTTAAGTTTTTAAAAAATTGGCTCTCAAAAGAAATTTCAATCGTTGTCCTGTTGATATTTGGCTCTGTTGACTAATGACTTTGCCGACCACTGACCCAGGCCTTAAACTCTGACCTCATCCTAGTATAATTCTCTCCCAACATTCAATCAGCCAAGGAGTCCTCACAATTTCACAACTTGGCGAGTTATACAATCCCTCCTCGCCATAGTCCCCCAGCAAGGCCAACCCCGCCTCTATCTATCTATCTATATCTATCTATCTATCTATCTATCTATCTATCTATCTATCTATCTATCTATCTGTATATTTCAGAGAGAAGGGGAGAGGGAAGAAGAGAGAAACTAAGAATCATTGATTGGTTGCTTCCCGAACCCCCCTACTGGGCATGTGATCCCCTGGTTCATAGGTCGAACTTCAACCACTGAGCCAGGCCAGCTGGGGGCCTCATTTTCTTCCTAACCTTCACCCAGCCCACATGCTTCATGTACCACCCAAACCAAACCAGATGCAGTTCCCAGATCGCTCCTTATGCTCCCCTAGCTCCCAGGACCCGTCCCTACCTTACTCCTGCTCAGACTGGGGCAGTAACGCAGTCAGGACGCCCCGCTGACCAACCCAGAGGAAGCTTTCAATATCTACTGTCCCGCCACCAACGACCTCACCCAAGCCCCACCCTGATTGGCTGCCACCCTGCCTGAGCCCTGCATGGATTGGTCCTTACCGCCGGGCCCGAGCTCCGATTGGTCGTCCAGGTTGAGACCCACCTAGCGGCCCACGTGGGCCTCCTGAACCGCCGGTGGGGCAGCAGCGCCGGGCCATGGGGGAACCTCCGTCCACGGTGGGGCGTCGGTCCACGGAGGAGCGTCGGTCCACGGTGGGGCGTCGGTCCACGGGGGGGCATCGGTCCATGGGGGGGCGTCGGTCCACGGAGGAGCGTCTGGGGGTCCGCAAGGTGGGGCTGGAGGAGGCCCTGGCGCTGGGCCCTGAGTGGCGGCACGCGTGCCACGCGATGCTCTACGCCCCGGACCCCGGGCTGCTCTTCCGCCGCATCCCGCTGCGCTACTTGGTCCTGGTGAGGAGGGGACGCGCCCGCCACCCGCCACTCCCCCGCCTCCTCCCCGCCCCGCGGCCGGCCTCTGGCGCCCCGGCCAACCCTACCCCCGCTCCCCTGTCCTTGCAGATGCAGATGCGCTTTGACGGGCGCTTGGGCTTCCCGGGCGGTTTCGTGCATTTCCCGGACCAAAGCCTGGAGGACGGGCTGAACCAGGAGCTGCTGGAGGAGCTGGGCGAGGCCGCGACCGCCTTCCGCGTGGAGCGCGCCGACTACCGCAACTCGTACGTGTCGTCCGCGTCGTCGGCCCCGCGCGTCGTGGCCCATTTCTACATCAAGAGCCTGCCGCTGGAGCAGCTGAAGGCCGTGGAGAGGGGCGCGCCGCTGGCCCAGGACCACGGGCTGGAGGTGGGGCCTGTCTGGGAACCCCCATCCCACGCCCGCCCTCCTCCGAAAGCCTCTCCCTGGGCTTCCTGGTGGAGTGGAAGTCTTGGTTAGCTTTCATCTGGATGGCTGATCCCCCTACTCCCACCCCGTGAAGGTTCTCCATTACCCCTCCTGTACAGGCCTCTGCAGCTAACTTGCTAGAACGCACTCAAACAAGCCTCTCTTCTGCTCCCTTTTTCTTTCTTTCTTTTTTTTTTTTTTTAATATATATATATATTTTTTATTTTTTTTTTACAGAGAGGAAGAGAGAAGGATAGAGAGTTAGAAACCTCGATGAGAGAGAATCATAGATCAGCTGCCTCCTGCACACCCCCTACTGGGGATATGTGTCCAAGATACATGCCTTTGATGGGAATCAAACCTGGGACCCTTCAGTCTGCAGGCCAACACTCTACCCACTGAGCCAAGCGGGTTTCGGTCTGCTCCCCTTTTCTCATGGCAAGGCATTGCCCCCGAAGCCCCCGTTTCACTTGGATAGGAGATCCTTTGCGGGCAAACCTTGGCACTTAGGCTAGGGGCGGAGCGCTAGGGGAGCAGATGGAAATTGGTTCTTAAACTTGGGTGGTGATCAGAATCATCTGGGAGACCTATTAAAGCAGTCCATACTGGCCCCACTCCCAGAATTGCTGGTTCAGTGGAGGGAGGGAGGGGAAGACCTGAGAATTTGTATTTCCCAGAAGCTCCTATGTGCTGCTGATAGGGCTGGTCTGGATGCCACATGTTGAGAACTGATGTAGGACCAAGCAGGCATCCTGGAGGCAGCGCCACTGAGGGCTCTGGAGCTGGGGAGCAGGAGTTGGGTCACCTGTCTGCATAGAGCTGGGCCCATTAGGCTTTATTGAGATGGGAGTCCCCAGGCCTGGTTCTGCTGGACTGATAAGGGGTGAGGTGTCTGATCTAGAACGACTGGCAGGGATGAGCTGCTGGGTCTTTTTCCTTTCCCAGGTGCTGGGCCTGGTGCGGGTGCCCCTGTACACGCTGCGGGACGGTGTGAGCGGCCTGCCTGCCTTCCTGGAGAACACCTTCATTGGGACTGCCCGGGAGCAGCTGGTGGAAGCCCTCCAGGACTTGGGACTGCTAGACCCTGGCTCTGCCCTCAGGCCTTAAGGCCTCAGCTCTGAGATCAGGACCTTTGTCCGTGTGAGAGGGAGGAGAAAGGAGTGTTTTCTTTTCCTGGGCCTGAGCCTGATAGGTAATAGATTAAAAGGAGAAGTATGTGCAATATGTTCTGAGCTTAAGGCTCCCAGCAACTCATGGCATCAAAGGCAAAAAGCTGCATCTCCTCCCAGGGGACCTGACAAATCTCAGAGCCTGTCTCCCTGTACACACACACACACACACACACACATACACACAGAGTCTGGCAGCCCCCAGACATTTGAATGTGAAAGTCTGTGCCCACATACAAGCTGATGCCTCCCTGACCCCCAAAGTTTAGTTTACCTGGGAAGTGGGCCTAAGCTGTCACCATCCCATGCTCTTGCCGAGGAGGAGCTTGTGAACCACACTCCCACATGGTCTCTTCCACGCTCATATGTGGCTGCTCTCCAGGGTCTACCCCAGCCCACGATTGTTGAGGACAGGGAAGCCGAGGACCCCTTTTCCCTCTGAAAGTGGTCGCATCCTTGCCTGGGAATTGGCCCAAGCAGTATACCCCTGAAAGAAGGTTCAAGAGTCCTAACCAACCCCCAGCTGTCTTCTGAAACTGAGCTTGGAAATGGTTTGGTCTACTTGGACTGACCTTGAACTTGACACATCTGAGTCCTGGTGCATCTCCTTCAGGGTTTTCATCTTTGGGACCCTTTAGGCTCTGGGGACATTAGAAGGGAGCTGCCACAGCCCTGCACTAGCCCTGCTCTGATAGAAAGAACCTCCCAGGAAAGGGTTTGTAGGGGGCTTCCTGGCTCTCTTGTTCTTTCGACAATGTGTATGAGGAATTGGAGATCTAGGGACGAGAGCCAGCTCTCTTCCCGGCTGGGAAGCTTTCAGGGGCTAAATAGTAAATATTTTAAGCTTTGTTGGGCCACATGGTCTTTGTAGCAACTGTTGAACTCTGCCATGTCAGAAGTAGTAATGGACAATACATAAATAAATGGGTGTGGCTGTGTCCAATAAAACTCCTTATTTTTAAATATACTTTTATTTCAGATAGGAAGAGGGAGAGAGAGAAAAACATCAATGATGAGAGAGAATCAATGATCAGCTGCCTCTTGCACACCCCACACTGGGAATCGAGGCTACAACCTGGGTATGTGCCCTGACCTCCTGGTTTGTAGGTCGACGTTCAACCACTAAGCCAATCAGGCCAGGCAAGACTGTTTTTAAAAGGAGGTGGCCTTGCCGAAACCGGTTTGGCTCAGTGGATAGAGCGTCGGCCTGCGGACTGAAGGGTCCCGGGTTCGATTCCGGTCAAGGGCATGTATCTTGGTTGCGGGCACATCCCCAGTAGGGGGTGTGCAAGAGGCAGCTGATTGATGATTCTCTCTCATCGATGTTTCTAACTATCCCTCTTCCTCTCTGTAAAATATCAATAAAATATATTTTTGAAAGGAGGTGGCCAGCCTGTGGGCCATTTCCCTGCTCTGGAGAGAAAGATAAGATTAATAATTTTAATTGGGATGCCTATTATTTTTGTCAGTGTTAAGGCATTAATGTATTGATAAAGGTCCTACCTTGGTATTTTTTTTACTTGAGGTGGTCTGAAAGGGCCTTCTCTGTAGAGAATTTTAGCTGAAAGGTGAGAAGGAAGTAGCCAGGTAGGAGCGTGGGAAGAATATTCTAAGGTTTTCCAGGGAGGAAGGCCCTGAGGAAGAATTGGCAAATTATCCCAAAACAAGGGTAGGGGAATTAGACTCCATCTCTCCACTGGGAGGGTAGGGAATTTGCAGCCATCTTTAATGTACCAGAGCATGGACTAGAAATGGGAAAAGGCTTGTGTAATTAGACTATAGTGAGCAAGGAAAGATGAAGCTGGAGAGGCAGGCAGGAGGCCATGGTTGGGGGCTTAGTGTGTGCAGAGTGGACTCAAAGGGGGTAGGAAAAGGGAGATGGGAGGCTGCCACAGCTGTTCACGTGGGAGATGGAGGTGATCTGGGCCAGGGTGGCAGTACAGGTGGAGAGAAGTGGATGCATTTGAGTGAGCCGGTGGTGGCATTGACTGGCCCTCTGATGAACATGTTGGAGTGCGGTGAGGGAAAAGAGGACCCGAGGTGGCTTTCAGTTTGCGTCTTCGGTTATTCAAGTTGTGGGTGAAGGGAAACCTGAAGGGATAGCAAGCTTTTGGAGGGGGTAGAATCGAGATCATTTGGGTGTGGCATGTTGTGATACAAATCTGTGGGTCTTGTGCATAAAGATGACAGAGCCATTTGTCAGACTGGATGAGGTCACCCAGGGAGAGAAAAGAGAAGAGTTGGGAAGCCCATCCCTGAGAGTTTGGGGGAGGAGAGGACACGTTACAGAGGATCTGAGGTTGAGAGGAAGCTGCTTTAGGAGAGTGGGCTGTGCCAAGTGCTTGTCAGCGTTTAGGAAAGTGAGGGCAGAACTGTCTACTGGCATTAGTGGTATGAAGCTTTGATAACTGAAGGGAGCAATTTCAGGATGGGATGGGAGTGGAAGGCAGCCTGGAGTGGGTTGAGTGGATGGAGAGTGGGGGAGTGGTCAGAGTGAGAAGCCAGTCCTAAAGGGACTCGGAGAAATGGTGTGGTGACGAGAACGGTGGAGCCAGGTGGGTGTTTGCAGTGGGAGGTAGAATGTGAGTATGTGGGTGGAACAATTACTGTGGCGAGTGGAGAGGGATGGTGTGGGGATGGAGGGAGGGATGGTGTGGAGGTGGAGGGAGGGATGGTGTGGGGGTGGAGGGAGGGATGGTGTGGGGTGGAGGGAGGGATGGTGTGGGGATGGAGGGAGGGATGGTGTGGGGGTGGAGGGGAGGGATGGTGTGGGGTGGAGGGAGGGATGGTGTGGGGGTGGAGGGAGGGATGGTGTGGGGGTGGAGGGAGGGATGGTGTGGGGGTAGAGGGAGGGATGGTGTGGGGGTGGAGGGGAGGGATGGAGGGAGGGATGGTGTGGGGGTGGAGGGAGAGATGGTGTGGAGTGGAGGGGAGGGATGGTGTGGGGGTGGAGGAGAGGGGTCACTGAAGCGCACAGCCCAAGAGAAAGAAGGTACAGCCCTCTAGCCTAATAGGGCTCAGGAAGTAGAGTACAGGAAAGAGTGGAGGATGAGAAGAATGGTGAGATAATGGAGATTGAATCTCTTGGTGAAGTGAGACCATCAGTCGGATGTGGCTGGAAGATGTTCTCAGAAGGTATAAGTAGTCATTCATCTTGCTATTGAAAAGCGAGCCAATTAGAGAAACAGTATAAAGGCAGAGCAGGGCTGGCCTGTGAGGCGGTCAGGTTAGGGTAGGAATTGAGCACTCAGATGTGTCACGGTATTGTCCCCCGCATGGGTGGTCAGCTGGGGTGAAGACACTTGATGCAGACTTTGGTTTTTTCCAGAAGAGTATAGGAAGGGAGAGAGGCAGTAGGATTACAGGAGAAATGAGGATGGGCTGTGGGGTACAAGGTTCATGGACACAGGGGTGTCTTCAGAGGTGATAGCAAAATGGTGGTCTCAAGGAGGTAGAACCCCAATGTGGGGTGGGGTCGGGTGGGGAGGTGTCGTTGAGCCAGAAGAGGGCAGAACAGTCACAGGTAAAGTGAAGGTCCGGGTGGGTAATGAAGCAAGAAACTGACAGATGTTGGAGAAGGGAGTGTGAACTCCTAGCCAGCATCCTCTGCCAACAAGAGGAGCGATCAAAAGGCAGCGACAGCGGCTAGGTGGGGAAAGTGGGCACAATGGACAGAAGGAACCTGCAAGGAGCAGGCTTCTGAAGAAAGGCAGGGTGAGCAGTGGTCTGGAAGGGCAACAGAGAGCCATGTGGGCCCCAGGAGCCCTTCTCTGCCTTTGAAGGTGGGGCAGGGGAGCAGCTGCAGAGGGCAGGTAGGTAGATACTCAGAGAAGTTAACTCTGCCAAAAATATATATGGCAGAGTTAACATTATATATATATATATATATATATATATATATATATATATATATATATATATATGTGTGTGTGTGTGTGTGTGTGTGTGTGTATGTGTATATATGTGTATGTATATGTATGTGTATGTATATGTATATGTATATTGATTGACTTTTTACAGAGAGGAAGGGAGAGGGATAGAGAAGGATGAGAGAGAAACATAGATCAGCTGCCTCCTGCACACCTCCTACTGGGGATGTGCCCGAAAACAAGGTACATGCCCTTGACTGGAATCGAACCTGGGACCCTTCAGTCCACCTGCCGATGCCCTATCCACTGAACCAAACTGGCCAGGGCAAGACTCTGCCATTTTCCTTCTAACTTAGCCCTGAGCCTTTTGTAAGCGCCAGATGAAGCCCCCAGCAGAGGGAATGGACATTTGGGGGCCTCTGGGATCCCTGTCCACCTGTGACTTATATCACAACCTTCAGTTCATATTTGCAGGGAGGGCAGGACCCCGGGGCCCGGGGAGATGGGAGCAGCTGGCCCAGGACCGCAGTGCTGGTTAGGCCCCTCCCCTCGGGGGTCCCACCCAGCACATCTGCCCGGCGCTCTTTTTGAGATGTGTTGGGTCCAGCCTCGTACACCCTTCCTGGTGTCTACAGCACGAGTATCGCGGCACTGTCCCCTGCAGTTGTCATGGCTTATGTATTTACACCAAATACTCTTAGTTTTCAGGTCTGTGTTGACTACTGAGAGGGCGAGGCCATGACTCTCCTGTGTCATCCCACACCCCCCTCCCAGTCACTAGGCTCTTGGTCGGCAAACTGCGGCTCTCGAGCTGCATGCGGCTCTTTGGCCCCTTGAGTGTGGCTCTTCCACAAAATACCGCGGCCTGGGGGAGTCTATTTTGAAGAAGTGCTGTTAGAAGAAGTTTAAGTTTAAAAAAATGTGGCTCTCAAAAGAAATTTCAATCGTTGTGCTGTTGATATTTGGCTCTGGTGACTAAATGAGTTTGCCGACCACTGGGTTAAGCCACATGTCAGTGAGCGTCCTCAGCGTTCACCTGCGGCCTGGTCCATTTCACTGGCCTCCCTGCCCCCCAGTCCAGAAGCAGGCCGGGGAGGTGCAGCTCCGCCTCCGCTTTCTGCTCTGCCCCTTACCCTCCTGCTGCGGGGTAAGGAAACCCAGCATGGTGGCCCATGTAGGATCCCCTCAGCCTAGTTCAACCCAGTCACCAGAGAGAAAATGGGAAGTTTCCTGGCAACTCTTTATCCACCACTAGCGGCTGCAGTGATGTTCAGCCAGGACTTGACCTCCTCTTCCTTGTCTGAGATTCCTGTTTGGGGTTCCTGTGATGAGGGTTAAGCGAGGCAGCACCTGGGACTCAGCTTGCAGAGCTGCCCCCAGCACAGCTGCAGCACCGAAGCCGCCCCCTTCACTTTGAGCATTTTGTTCCTTGGAAGGTGAGTGGCTCAGGCTGCCTCCTGCCAAGCACATGTTCCTGCAGAGTCAGCAAGATGTCCTCACTTCCCAATCCTGTGCTATTTCCATGAGTAATGGCCGCTGCTGCGTCAACACTTGGGGGCCCCATGCCGTCTGAGCCACGGTCTCCCTCTGCTATCGAGCTTGCAGCAGACCGCTGCTTTTAGGCAGGGACATTTGAGGAAAGAGTGGCTGTCACCTTCCCCAGTTACTTGAAACCTTCAGAAACTAAGGAAGCAGACCAGGGCCACGGTGAATAGTGGGAAGGGATGTTTTCTGTGAGTGTCAGCTTATTGCGCAGAAATCTGATCCCTCCCCCAAGTCCTCTATCCCACCAGACAAATTAATCTTCTGTTTAAATAGAGAAGAAGGAAACGTTTTATCTGTAATGAAATTATTGAATTCTTGAATTGATCAAGAGATTATCCACAGTGATCACATGAATTTCAGGTTATATATGGCAAAAATCTATTGGAAAGGTAAGAAGAAATCAATATTGGGGGATCACACATTTCCTCAACGCTTGGCAGATAAAATGTCTAGGTAAAAGTATGGAATCTAGGAGATAAAAATTAAAGTGATGGAAACAATATTTTAGCATTTTCTGTGGGACAGGCACTATTCTAACTTCTTTTCATG